GCAGGTGGTGGTGGGGCACAGCTGTGCCAGGGTTGTTTTTCTTTGTGGATTCGTTACCCGTTGCCCTCTTTCTTGGTCCTGATGCTATGGAGGGTGGCTGGGGCTGGTTGGGGGAGGGGGGTGTGTATGTTTCGCCTCCGTCATTGACGTGCCTGACCTAATTGTCATGTTCCCATCCACGTCCTGCACGTGCAGCAGGCCTTGGAAGATGGGCCTGACGTCAAGCCAGGAATGGAGGTAAGATGGGAGGGAGGGTCGGGGCTCTTGTGTGATTTACGTGGGGTGTCAAAATGCTGTCGTACTCCGATATGGCTATCGGAGTACGGCAGATTTGTTTGATGTAGGCAGGTGGTGGTGGGGCACAGCTGTGCCAGGGTTGTTTTTCTTTGTGGATTCGTTACCCGTTGCCCTCTTTCTTGTTCCTGATGCTATGGAGGGTGGCTGGGGCTGGTTGGGGGAGGGGGGTGTGTATGTTTCGCCTCCGTCATTGACGTGCCTGACCTAATTGTTATGTTCCCATCCACGTGCTGCACGTGCAGCAGGCCTCGGTCGATGAGGACGACGTCCAGCCAGGAATGGAGGTAAGATGGGGGCGAGGGTCAGGGCTCTTATGTGGTTAAGCAGCCCCTCGCACAAATGTGTCCGGTCGTACTTCGCGAATAAACAGTTCGTACATCGTCCCAAAAAGTCAGGAGCGAATTTTGCCGCGCAGATGCGCGCGTGCGATTCACAAAATGCGCCTGTACAAGTGTATATAAATTTCTTGGAGGTGCGCCAGCGCATTGCGCAGGCGGTCTTGCTGGCCATAGTCGCACGCGGCATGCAGGCTGGACTATTGCGTGGCTGCTTTGCAGTAACTGAAAGCACCGAAAGCCTACGTCGTAGCTTGCAACTCTGTTCTCGTGAAACTGCCGCGGGAAGATGAAGCGTTCGGCGAAGAGGCAGTTGTATGCAGCACCTTGTTCAGAGTAAAGTCAAATTACAAAGTTGCGCAAAGTATAACATACATAAACTTAATTAAACATAAGAACAGATAAGACGTTTAGAGCCTTGTCGGTGACATGGACGCCGCTGTTGGCTTGGAACAGCTATTTGCTGTGCATAGGGATGTGCCCGTGTTAGCCGTGTTGCAACAGCTCAGGATGGATTTCAGCCAGCAACAGCTTCAAGAGCTGCTGCACAACCACCGGGAATGTCTTCAGTTGGGCACGTGTAGTTTTGGTCGGCGGGTTTTGGTCGGGGGGGGTCGCATCTCACCATTCAACTTAGCATGCATGTGCTCGGTTGAATGCTCGGTAGCGTGCGAGTTTACCCCTATCAGGATGTTTGTTTGCATATCCCTACAAGAGAGAGGACTTGCACCTATGCTGATGTTCGTTCCAAGAAGTGAACTGAGGACTGATTACGCTAATCTCACATTCCAATATGCCACTGCACTTTCCTCTCCAGCCTGGCCACATTCTCTTCCTCGCAAACGTACTTGGGCACCTTACGATCCAACACCTTACATGCTTTGGAAACGCGGGCAGCTGCTTCACAGGCTCTTGTGTGATTTACGTGGGCCGTCAAAATGCTGTCGTACTCCGATATGGCTATCGGAGTACGGCAGATTTGTTTGATGTGGGCAGGTGGTGGTGGGGCACAGCTGTGCCAGGGTTGTTTTTCTTTGTGGATTCGTTACCCGTTGCCCTCTTTCTTGGTCCTGATGCTATGGAGGGTGGCTGGGGCTGGTTGGGGGAGGGGGGTGTGTATGTTTCGCCTCCGTCATTGACGTGCCTGACCTAATTGTCATGTTCCCATCCACGTCCTGCACGTGCAGCAGGCCTCGGAAGATGGGCCTGACGTCAAGCCAGGAATGGAGGTAAGATGGGAGGGAGGGTCGGGGCTCTTGTGTGATTTACGTGGGCCGTCAAAATGCTGTCGTACTCCGATATGGCTATCGGAGTACGGCAGATTTGTTTGATGTAGGCAGGTGGTGGTGGGGCACAGCTGTGCCAGGGTTGTTTTTCTTTGTGGAATCATTAGCCATGTGTATCTTACTAAACCACAACTGGATGGTGGCGTCGGAAGACACCGATTTGGAAGAGTTTCGCCCGCTTAAATAGCGGAGGATGCGGCCATCCCATGAATCGTACAGCCAATTCCGAAAAGGCGCGGTCCAGTCCGGAATGGCATACCGTTGATCCATGCTTCCAATCGATGACGGGGCTCCACGAGCCAGGGACCACGTCCCAGTCGTAGCCTGTGCTACGACCCCCGCCCATACTTCTGCAAGTATGGACTTCCGCCTGAGGCGGCATTTACTTGTAGGCATCCCTGACAGCTTCCCGCTCGCCGTCTGACCCAGAGGTCGGAGCCATAAAGATCTGACAGAAAAGCGGCAAAATAGGCAGTTGGAATTCAGTTAGTTCCAGCAAACTTATCCAGTAACCGCACCAAGCGAAAAAGGAAAAAATTAGACAGAAAATGTATCAGTTTGGGCCCAGATTTAAGAAGCGGAATACAACAACTATCCCCCCTCTAGATGCAGCGTCCTCGATGCATGGCAAGAAACTGGCAGAGCAGAACCGGGCCAAAACACGCGGGAGTTAAAACACTTACCTTTAACCCGCAAATCTTACCTTGCCCGTGCTCGTTGCCGTGCTTCTTCCAGCAGAGGTTTTAGGTCAGGGGTAAAGTTAGCTTCTGGTTCCCAACTGTTGTGCTCAGCCGAGTACCCAGCCCATTTGACAAGATACTCATGCACAGTGCGCTTACGGCGGCGGTTTCTGCCTACTTTTCGGGAACGGTAATCCAGTATCCGTTCAACCGCGTAAATGTCTGCTTGCCTGAAAGCCAAGTAACTGGTCCTGGCTCCGTGACAGTAGGAGCAGGTTTTGGCTGAAGCGCAGCAGCAGAGTCAGTAGTACGGAAAGGTCGGACTAGAGAGACATGGAATGTGGGATGGATGCGCATGTCAGGTGG